CAGTATAATATACTATATTGTACTGTCCCCTATTGTACTTTACTGTACTGTTCTCCACTGTACTCTACTGATCTAAACTCTACTGTGCTCTGCTGTACTGTTCTGTGCTGTCCAAATTTGTGAAACATAGTAGATGCCTATGATTGGTTCAGATTTGTGGTGTGTTCAAGACAACTGGGAACTCTGAAAAAAACAAGGTCAAATCGTGGTCGGAATGTCGGTGCTCTAGGAAGATTCCAGAGTTTCTGAACTGGAATTCCAAGTTGGATCACCATGCGAATCTATTTTTTCCAGACGGAGCTCGTTTTTCAGAGTTCTCAGTTGTCTTGAACGCACTGAAGTCGGCTGTTTTTGGGGGCGGACACTCTTATCCAGAGCAACTTACAGTCAGTGCATTCAACTAAGGTAGATAAACAACCAAATATCACAGTCATAGCAAGAAAACCTTTTCTCATTGAGCATCCTTGATAAAGTCGTCGGCTGCCTTTTACGCACAGATTTTTACCCGCAGTGTTCATGCTAGTGTTTGTTGTTGGGACATTTGCAAAAACTTTTCTGTATCTGTTTTTTTCTGTTTGTCTGAAAACTTTGAACATGGTCACTGCCAGTTTTAAAGCTTTTGAAAAAGCTAACTTACAGTAACAGATGGGAGAAATAATAAATATACCATACTGCACTCTTCAGTTTGCTCAATTTTCCTGTTTTAATTGTAATAAAAAATGTTTAATGTAATATAATGCTTTGTTCATTGTGTCACGATTCTCTAAAGCAGAACCCAGAAGCAGACCAGGACAAGGTGAGTTGAATGAAGGTGAGTATTTATTTAAAGACTTAAATGTGGAAGCAGGAGAATCCAGGTGACAGAGCTGGCAGTGGAGGTGAGTTGGTGGGAGTGACTGGGCAGATCCAATGATGTCTCTGAAGCCACAGACGACCAGGCAGCGGTGGAGTGAATGTTCCGGGAGAGTAACTGTAGACAGAGTAAACGAAGGTGAGTTCACAGCAAGCAAAAAGTACAGAACAGCAAAACTAACTCTTAGTAATCTGAGGCTGATACGCAGGCACAACATACTGTTCATGGCTAACGATCCAGCAGGGAATGGATGTCAGGTCAGAGCTTATGAAGTGGAGAGGTGATGATCAGGACCAGGTGTGCAGATAGCTGATGAGATGCAGGTGCGGGTAATAGAGAGATCTACCACCTAGCTTTGTCGCCCGGCAACCAGACAGGGTGCGTTCAGGAAACTCAGGAAAAAAGATTCCAGGACAGAAAACAGGCAACTCAGGCAAAAACAGACTCAGGAAGCGGGATTCATGACACATTGACATGAACAAAAATATAAACGCAACATGCAACAATTTCAACGATTTTACTATTTTAATTGTAATTAAAAATGTTGAATGTAATATAATGCTTTCTTCAATAACATTAACAAAAATATAAATGCAACATGGAACAATTTCAGCGATTTTACTTAGTTACAGTTCACTGGCCACTTTATTAAATGGAACACTAGTCACTTTAATAATGCCACTTTAATCATGTTTACATATCTTGCATTACTCGTCTCATATGTAAATACTGTATTCTATACTATCTATTGCATCTTAGCCTATGCCGCTCTGACAATGACATGCTCATCCATATATTTATATATTCTTATTCCATTCCTTTACCTAGATTTGTGTGTATTAGATATTTGTTGTAGAACTGTTAGATATTACTTGCTAGATATTACTGCACTGTCGGAACTAGAAGCACAAGCATTTCGCTGCACTCGCAATAACATCTGCTAACCATGTGTATGTGACCAATACATTTGATTTGATTTGATTTATAAGGAAATCAGTCATTTGAAATAAATTCATTAGGCTCTAATCTATGGATTTCACATGACTGGGCAGGGGTGCAGCCATGGGTGGGCCTGGGAGGGGCATAGGCCCAACCACTTGGGAGCAATGCTTACCCACTGGGGAGCCAGGCCTAGCCAATCAGAATACGTTTTTCCCCACAAAAGGGCTTTATTAAAGACAGAAATAGTCCTCAGTTTCACCAGCTGTCCGGGTGGCTGGTCTCAGACGATCCCACAGGTGAAGAAGCCGGATGTGGAGGTCCTGAGCTGGCGTGGTTAAACGTGGTCTGTGGTTGTGAGGCCGGTTGGACGTACTGCCAAATTCTCTAAAACGACGTTGAGGACAGCTTATGGTAGAGAAATGAACATTAAATTATCTGGCAACAGCTCTGGTGGACATTCCTGCAGTCAGCATTCCAATTGCACACTCCCTCAAAACTTGAGACATCTGTGGCATTGTACTGTGTGACAAAAGAGTGGACTTTTATTGTCCCCAGCACAAGGTGCACCTGTGGAATGATCATGCTGTTTAATCAGCTTTGCGATATGCAACACGTCAGGTGGATGGATTATCTTGGCAAAGGAGAAATGCTCACTAACAGGGATGTAAAAATAATGTGTGCACAAAATTTGAGACAAAAAAGCTTTTTGTGCATCTGAAAAAATGTCTGGGAACTTTTATTTCACCTCATGAAACATGGGATCAACACTTTACATGTTGCGTTTATATTTTTGTTCAGTATAGATATAAGTGAATGTATATATGATTCAAATATGACCAAAAAAATACTTATTTCAATGTCTGTAAAATACCTATTTTCAATGTCTGTAAAATATGTAAATTATTTTCAACATCAGTAAATGACATATTTTCAATGTCCATATAACATGGCTTTTCAATGTCCAGAAAATATGTACAGTGGGGAGAACAAGTATTTGATACACTGCCGATTTTGCAGGTTTTACTACTTACAAAGCATGTAGATGTCTGTAATTTTTATCATAAGTACACTTAAACTGTGAGAGACGGAATCTAAAACAAAAATCCAGAAAATCACATTGTATGATTTTTAAGTAATTAATTTGCATTTTATTGCATGACATAAGTATTTGATACATCAGAAAAGCAGAACTTAATATTTGGTACAAAAATCTTTGTTTGCAATTACAGAGATCATACATTTCCTGTAGGTCTTGATCAGGTTTGCACACACTGCAGCAGGGATTTTGGCCCAATCCTCCATACAGACCTTCTCCAGATCCTTCAGGTTTTGAGGCTGTCGCTGGGCAATACGGACTTTCAGCTCCCTCCAAAGATTTTCTTTTGGGTTCAGGTCTGGAGACTGGCTAGGCCACTCCAGGACCTTGAGATGCTTCTTACGGAGCCGCTCCTTAGTTGCCCTGGCTGTGTGTTTCGGGTTATTGTCATGCTGGAAGACCCAGCCACGACCTATCTTCAATGCTCTTACTGAGGGAAGGAGGTTGTTGGCCAAGATCTCGCAATACATGGCCCCATCCATCCTCCCCTCAATACGGTGCAGTCGTCCTGTCCCCTTTGCAGAAAAGCATCCCCAAAGAATGATGTTTCCACCTCCATGCTTCACGGTTGGGATGGGGTTCTTGGGGTTGTACTCATCCTTCTTCTTCCTCCAAACACGGCGAGTGGAGTTTAGACCAAAAAGCTCTATTTTTGTCTCATCAGACCACATGACCTTTTCCCATTCCTCCTTTGGATCATCCAGATGGTCATTGGCAAACTTCAGACAGGCCTGGACATGCGCTGGCTTGAGCAGGGGGACCTTGCGTGCGCTGCAGGATTTTAATCCATGACGGCGTAGTGTGTTACTAATGGTTTTCTTTGAGACTGTGGTCCCAGCTCTCTTCAGGTCATTGACCAGGTCCTGCCGTGTAGTTCTGGGCTGATCCCTCACCTTCCTCATGATCATTGATGCCCCATGAGGTGAGATCTTGCATGGAGCCCCAGACCGAGGGTGATTGACCGTCATCTTGAACTTCTTCCATTTTCTAATAATTGCGCCAACAGTTGTTGCCTTCTCACCAAGCTGCTTGCCTATTGTCCTGTAGCCCATCCCAGCCTTGTGCAGGTCTACAATTTTATCCCTGATGTCCTTACACAGCTCTCTGGTCTTGGCCATTGTGGAGAGGTTGGAGTCTGTTTGATTGAGTGTGTGGACAGGTGTCTTTTATACAGGTAACAAGTTCAAACAGGTGCAGTTAATACAGGTAATGAGTGGAGAACAGGAGGGCTTCTTAAATTAAAACTAACAGGTCTGTGAGAGCCGGAATTCTTACTGGTTGGTAGGTGATCAAATACTTATGTCATGCAATAAAATGCAAATTAATTACTTAAAAATCATACAATGTGATATTATGGATTTTTGTTTTAGATTCCGTCTCTCACAGTTGAAGTGTACCTATGATAAAAATTACAGACCTCTACATGCTTTGTAAGTAGGAAAACCTGCAAAATCGGCAGTGTATCAAATACTTGTTCTCCCCACTGTATTTTCAACATCCGGAAAAAGGTATTTTCAGCTTTCATTCAGAACCGAAAATTTACCTGATTTCAAATTCTGGAAATTAAGTCTAAAAGACGTATTTTGGATGTCATTTTGCTCATTGAGCGCCCACTTCCTGAATGGGCACTTCCTTAATTCCATAGATTACTCGAAGCAATAAGAATTTGTTCTTAACTGACTTGCCTAGTTAAATATAGGTAAGAAAAAAATGACTGACAGCTAAGCTTGCATACAAAGGTCATTTGGTATTGACAGTAACCTATTCTTACCTAGCTACTATAGTTTCCTTTCCATATTTACTTTGAGGTAACCGACACAGCTGCAATAGGCCTCCACCACCATCCGTCACTTGTCCTCTCTCTGTCTCTCACTCCCACACACACAATCATTGGTCAAAAATTAACATTGTTATTACACATTCAAATGTATTTGAAGTAATGCAAAGAATTTGACCATGTTTACAGGGTAAAAAGGAACCACACAGCGCAAGTTTGTTTTAATCCTACCCTTCGATTCTCTGCTTAGATCGTTGTCCACTATTTTCACTGACAGGGCCTGCTCACCTCAGGCGTCGGGGCTGTTTCACTCTTCAAGGTCCTATACTTTAAAGCCAGGGTATGGCTCTTCTGTAGGCTGTGAGTGGGGACTGAGGACAGTTGTAGTGGTGGCAGGAGCAGGACTCAATCATCATCACCTGCTGGTGGCTCATCCTGCCCTGGGGGCAGCGAAGGCCATGCGGACAGTCCTGGTGCGGTACAGTCTGGACACTGTAGGCCACAGAACCGGGATCTATAGGCCCGCGTGCTGAAACAGCCCTGGTGCTCCAGACGAATGGGTAAAGGAGACCTATAGCTGCTCTCGCAGGCACCCGTTCTTTGCAATAAACATGCTGTACATAGCCTAGTGGGCTTCAGACAGCAATTGATAACGGTGAATGATTCTGATTGATATCTTGCATTAACTTGTATTTGATCAATATGAACTATGAAATATTTTGACAACAATTATTCTGATGGCATAGATGTATGATCAATTGATGGTCAATGTAAGTACAGGTACATGTAAACCATATCAAGTAATTCATCCCATTTGCCAAAAAGTGAGGTACGAGAAGGAAAGCAAACCGTTTCTAATGCACAAACTGTGTCCATCCATCTCGAGTGGCAATCCATCCTACCTGAACCAACCTCGAAAACAAAGCCGACAGCCGACAGTCTGAGCAGTAAGAGTATTTGCAAAGTGTTTGAAGTAAAGAAAGGTGAAGATGCGGCTTGGCTCCCACTCACCTCCTGCGACCTGCTGCGCTGCACGGCGGTGGGCTGGCATAGCCTGACCTGGCACAGTATGGTCTGGGTCTGCGGGCGGCAGGCCCAGTTCTGGTTTGAACTGCGGGTGGAGACACCTGGACCACAGCTGCGGGAGCAGAGGCTCCAGTCTGTGATTTGCTCGATGCAGTTGGAGCTCAGGCACTGGCCCTGAGAGTGAGCTGCATCACCACCAAAGTCCTGACGCAACCTCTCCCTCTCTGATGGTCTCTCCACTGGGTCTTGTTGAAAGACAAGGGCAATGTGATGCCTTTAGGCCATTTGTATACTCATGGGATTTGTAATGTGATGTTATTGTGGTTGGATATGGCTATGCTATTACACACAAAATAAATGTTATGAGTAATGAATTAAAAACAATTCTTGTTAATTAACCAGTTAATGTAACTAAATGTAATAAAGAATGTAATCTACATAATCCCCAAAAGTAATTATTTATCATGAGAGGGCCATAAACAATAACTAGTAATGCTTCATACTCCAATAAAGATTAAAATCTCACCTTTCTGATAAAACATTTTATAAATTGCTGAGGTGTAGTCACAGGACACAAGCTCAAGTACACAGTACAAATATGCTAAAAATATGAAATATTTTATATCACGTATTTCCTATTCAACTAAACTGTATGAATAAGGCTTGAAATGACTTATATTCTTTCTAAATATAGCATAATATTTAAAAACACTCACAAAAGCTCTGACGGCCAAGAAGCCGATACGTAAAGCTGTGGTCCTCTGTAGCTCAATTGGTAGAGCATGGCGCTTGTAACGCCAGGGTAGTGGGTTCGATCCCAGGGACCACCCATATGTAAAAATGTATGCACACATGACTGTAAGTCGCTTTGGATAAAAGCGTCTGCTAAATGGCATATTATTAATAAAGAACAGTGATACTATCAAGAGCAGCGTGCGGGTTTCACTTTTCTCACGTTATTCAGTTGTTACCATGCACCTGCAACAAATATACACTGCTCCAAAAAAATTAAGGGAACACTTAAACAACACAATGTAACTCCAAGTCAATCACACTTCTGTGAAATCAAACTGTCCACTTATGAAGCAACACTGATTGACAATAAATTTCACATGCTGTTGTGCAAATGGAATAGACAACAGGTGGAAATTATAGGCAATTAGCAAGACACCCCCAATAAAGGACTGGTTTTGCAGGTGGTGACCACAGACCACTTCTCAGTTCCTATGCTTCCTGGCTGATGTTTTGGTCACTTTTGAATGTTGGCGGTGCTTTCACTCTAGTGGTAGCATGAGACGGAGTCTACAACCCACACAAGTGGCTCAGGTAGTGCAGCTCATCCAGGATGGCACATCAATGCGAGCTGTGGCAGGAAGGTTTGCTGTGTCTGTCAGCGTAGTGTCCAGAGCATGGAGGCGCTACCAGGAGACAGGCAAGTACATCAGGAGATGTGGAGGAGGCCGTAGGAGGGCAACAACCCAGCAGCAGGACTGCTACCTCCGCCTTTGTGCAAGGAGGAGCAGGAGGAGCACTGCCAGAGCCCTGCAAAATGACCTCCAGCAGGCCACAAATGTGCATGTGTCTGCTCAAACGGTCAGAAACAGACTCCATGAGGGTGGTATGAGGGCTCGACGTCCACAGGTGGGGGTTGTGCTTACAGCCCAACACCGTGCAGGACGTTTGGCATTTGCCAGAGAACACCAAGATTCGCCACTGGCGCCCTGTGCTCTTCACAGATGAAAGCAGGTTCACACTGAGCACGTGACAGACATGACAGAGTCTGGAGACGCCGTGGAGAACGTTCTGCTGCCTGCAACATCCTCCAGCATGACCGGTTTGGCGGTGGGTCAGTCATGGTGTGGGGTGGCATTTCTTTGGGGGGCCGCACAGCCCTCCATGTGCTCGCCAGAAGTAGCCTGACTGCCATTTGGTACCGAGATGAGATCCTCAGACCCCTTGTGAGACCATATGCTGGTGCGGTTGGCCCTGGGTTCCTCCTAATGCAAGACAATGCTAGACCTCATGTGGCTGGAGTGTGTCAGCAGTTCCTGCAAGAGGAAGGCATTGATGCTATGGACTGGCTCGCCCGTTCCCCAGACCTGAATCCAATTGAGCACATCTGGGACATCATGTCTCGCTCCATCCACCAACGCCACGTTGCACCACAGACTGTCCAGGAGTTGCCGGATGCTTTAGTCCAGGTCTGGGAGGAGATCCCTCAGGAGACCATCCGCCACCTCATCAGGAGCATGCCCAGGCGTTGTAGGGAGGTCATATAGGCACGTGAAGGCCACACACACTACTGAGCCTCATTTTGACTTGTTTTAAGGACATTACATCAAAGTTGGATCAGCCTGTAGTGTGGTTTTCCACTTTAATTTTAAGGGTGACTCCAAATCCAGTGTCACGATCGTTGGTTAGAGATGAGGACCAAGGCGCAGCGTTGAAGGTGAACATATCCTTTTATTACTGATCAAAACGATAACGTGACGTCTACAGTTTAACACAAACCGAAATGAACAAGAAACCACAAACACAAAGTGAAAGACAGACAGTTAAATATGGCTCCCAATCAGAGACACCCAGCTGACACTCGTTGCCTCTGATTGGGAGTCACTCAGCCCAACATAGAAAATCAAACATAGAATTACACACCCTGGCTCAACATAACATAGTCCCCAGAGCCAGGGCGTGACATCCAGACCTCCATGGGTTGATAAATTTGATTTCCATTGATAATTTTTGTGTGATTTTGTTGTCAGCACATTCAACTATGTAAAGAAAAAAGTATTTAATAAGATTATTTCATTCATTCAGATCTAGGATGTGTTATTTTAGTGTTCCCTTTATTTTATTGAGCAGTGTATTTTGAATTTTAAATATAGTATAATCAAATTATAGAACAACTGACTAAAATATTTTATCCTTATAACTGTAAAATACATATTTGTATGTTCAGTGCATATTTTGTACATATTTTCTGATGGTCTCTCTTGAGCAAAACGTCTGCCCCTGTCGCTGAGAACGTCTCACATAGCTCTAGCTTGGCTTCCTCAACTCGTTAAGAACTCGCCTTTCATCTCTTTTTAACCTCATCCGTCTATGATAAACAGATTACTGGCTATTAATCGATCTCTGAATGTGCTACAGCGACGAAAGCACTCTCTCCTGCTGCGCTACGACGTAAGGATTCTATTAGTGGCTGTGACGTATGGTTCAGACAGGCGTTGAAGAGCGAATTAAAATGGTAGGAGGGACATCCCAGCTTCAAGTGGTGTCAGATTTCCCATCCTGCTGTGCGAGTGAGAATCAGGGTGACCACTCAATGCAAGCCATTTCGATATATGGTATACACAGATCGATTTATAAGCGAACATGTTGGTCGGAACCGGTACCGGAACCACGTAGGTCCCCAAAACAGGTTCTTTACATCTAAGAGGTTTTAAATATGAATATTGTGGTTTCAAATGCTTTACTATATTTGACTGCAGGATTCAATACAGCCTGTCTACTGCTGTGCTGTAACTACTGTACTCCTTGCACACACTACACGCCTTTGAAGCATATACAGTAGGCTAGCTGCAAAAACGGGAAATACTTTACTTGAAGGGGGTATCTGTGCATAAGGCATTCATAACACCTTCATGAAACCAGTCATAACATGTTTTAAGAACGTTGTTATGAATGATACTGTAACATTCATAAAGCTGTTATGACTGCTTTCATAAAAGTGTTATGAATGCTTTATGTAAAACCCTGTTCAATTAAACTGTTAACCAAAAACAGAGTCAAAATTATTCAATGATGTTATTTCTCAACTGGAATGCTACTGTGTAAATACTGCCATGCAGGTGCAATGGAACTGCGCCCTTTTGTCCAAAAGGAAATAGCTGAAATGCATCCACATTCCTCTGTGTTGTGAGCCTCAGGATGTTTATCATGGCAAACAACATGTAAATCTCATTGCAGCACCAAAGTTATTTCAAGACTTTAAGCAAGTTGTTGCTACATATTTTCAACATTTTGACCAAGGGATACTGTTCTCTGTGTATTTTGTTACTGTGATATGTTACATGTGAGTAAATAATAGGAATAACTCAGAATTACATGTGATATGAATTAATGAAAGAAAAGTAAATATGCATATTCGGACCACTTTATTTGGAAAGGCCCCTACAGATGATTTGTAGATGCTCAAATTGATTTTACTTTGCCAACCTGTAGTTGTTGTTTTTTAAAAATCTTGTTCTTGGAAAGAAAATGGACAGTTGATGGAAAGGTCAGCCTGATCACCAGCTTTAGGCTTCCTTTCTAGATGTTTGTACAAGGTAGTTGGGAGCAATGTTCCCTCTAAACTGTGCAGCTCCCCTGCCGCGCAGAGCGCAGAAGAACCATCAGCCCACAGAGAGAAGCATGAGATTGGACTTCAGTCAACTTTCTCGAGCTTTCCCTGTGTGTTAACACTATCAACGTTTCCCTTTACTGTGGCAATTGTGATCGAATCAAGGCAATATTAGCCACTTTCAACACAAGAGATTTTGTCATAGGTGGACCACATCTGAGTAGGATTCTATTGCATTGACACACACCCGTACTCTACACAGACCGGTGCGGCATAACCAATCAGAGCTGCAGTAGGCCTATGTGCAATTAGACCATCTAGACATTTACTTTGAACTGGACTTTGTTTACAGCTGTGGTCATGAGCAGATGCGCTTGTTTTTACAGCTGTGGTCGTGAGTAGATGGCTTGTTTTGAGATCAAATAAAGAGCTGCATGTGCACATTTTGTTCATATCCTTTGCTAGTTAGTGAGTTATTAGCCCAGTTATAGATCATTTGTAGTCAGCAATAGGGGAGTGATTGCTTCCTACAAGAGCACAAAATGTGTACATTTCTAGACATATTTAAAAACAATGTTTTATTGCCTTAAAGCAGTCCTTCTCAAATAGTGGGGCGCGCCCCCCTGGGGGGGCTCGGAGCGATGCCGGGGGGGGCGCGTGTGACCCTGGGGAACATGCTTTTTTTTGCCGCAGGGAGTAGGGTTTTTTTGCACCGAACAAGAGCACACAGCACAGAGCAGGAGATATGAAGTGCAGATAACAAACCCTTAGGAGACACCATGGAAAAATATTCAACAGGGATGAAAAGAAAGGCGGAGAGAGACGGAGATACTGAGACAAACGTAAGTCTCCCGAATGCTAAGACGAGGAAATATGATGAAGCGTATGTAGCGCTTGGCTTCACTGTGACTACGGTGGGAGACGAGGAAAGACCGGTATGTTTACTGTGTCTAAAAATGTTGGCAGCGGACAGCATGAAGCCAAATAAATTAAGGCGTCACTTAAAGACATTACACCCCAATCACGCTGATAAGCCGCTTGAGTTTTCAGCGAAAACGTGCCGAAAATTGCAAACAATCGTCCCGCTTTGTGAATGCTACTTCAGTAAACCAGCGAGCACTGTTGGCATCATATAAGGTGGCGTTCCAAATTGCTCAGTGCAAAAAAAACACTCCATAGCAGAGGAGCTGATACTGCCTGCAGCATTAGACATGGTCTCTGTCATGCTGGATGACGCAAGTGCTGCAAAAATAAAAACTATCCCTCTGTCCAATGACACTGTCGCCAGACGTATAAATGACATTGCTAACGATCTTAAAGAACAGCTGGTAGATAAACTCAAAGACAAACGTTTTGCCTTACAGTTCAATGAAGCAACAAAGACTGTTTGTTTATCGCTTATGTACGTTTTGACATGACAAACTCCCTGTGTGAGGATCTACTTTTTCGTAAATATGTCAGAGACAGAGCCACAGCTGAAGAGCTATTCAAAATGCTGGACTGCTTCCTGACTGAGAATCGGCTAAAGTGGGAGAACTGCATTGGTGTTTGCAGTGATGGTGCACAGACCATGGCAGGGATGAGAAAAGGACTTCGGGCACTCATCAAGAAGGCCTCACTTAATGCTGAGTGGACACACTGTGTTATACACAGAGAAGCACTGGCATCAAGGCACCTTTTCTCTGAATTAAGTGAGGTTATGACTGACATTGTAGGTGTAGTCAATTTTATAAAGACCAGACCACTAAAAACAAGAGTCTTCTCTGCTATCTGTGAGGAGATGAGAGCTGAACATCAAGCTGTGCTGTTTCACAGTGAAGCAAGGTGGCTGTCACGAGGAAAAGTCTTGTCCCGAGTTTTTGAGCTCAGAGAGCAGATAAGAATGTTTTCGGAGCAGGAGCACAAGTATGACCTCGCAGAAAAATTTGGTGATGAGAACTTCCTGGCAAAACTGGCCTACCTGAGTGACATATTTGGAAAGCTAAATGAACTAAATCTACAGCTTCAAGGGAAAGATAAACACCTCCCTCAGGTCACAGACAAGATCAGCTCTTTCACTCGAAAGCTTGCAATGGGTGTTGGCTCCAACTGGTTTCAGCTCTGCAGAGGAGGACCAGTTCATTGATATGACGTCTGACTCCACATTGAGACTGAGGTTCACATCACAGACACTGAGTGAATTCTGGCTGAGTGCAGAGAGGCAGCATCCACTCATAGGGCAGAGGGCCATGGGCATTCTTCTTCCTTTTGCAACATCTTATCTTTGTGAGACTGGCTTCTCTGCTGTTGCAGTGCAGGTCCCAGCTAAACATTGAGCAGGAGCTGAGAATTGCAGTATCATGCTTCAAACCCCGCTTCGAAAAGCTGTGCACTGCAAAACGTGCTCATTGTAGCCATTATTCCTGACTTCCTCATTTTGATTAAAAAAATAATAATAATCAGCACAAATTGTTTTATTCATTTTTGTTTTATAGGTCAAAGTGTTTCATATATTGTGCTCCTGAGTTAATGTTGCTGATCAATTTGAATGTATTATTATTTATTGATTATATTTTATTTTATTTTTCAGTATCAAATGGTCAAAAAAAAATTACAGTTTAAATAAGGTTTTAATTTTTTTTTTAATTTCAGGCAAATTTATGCACTTTTAGTATTTTCTGTTACAGACTAAAAAACAATGTTAATAACGTTTATTCTTTGTTGTAAGTTGATCTATATTTTATATACAGTTGCGGCGGAGAGTTGGGGGGCGCGAAATGTTTACTTCTTCCTAGGGGGGGCGTAACAGAAAATAATTGAGAAGCACTGCCTTAAAGGGACATTGTAGTATTTTGAGACAAGTTTGAATAAGCTAAGTAGCCAATAGGCAGAGGGCAGAGGATTTTCTACAGTATTTTAAGCTTTCATACAGCATTATGCTAACCTTAACAGGAGTTATGCCTCAACTTAACCCTAGAGGTTCTTGCATTGTGCAAGTTATAATTGGACCATGGAACGTCATGATTTTGATGAGCGAATGAGCCCTGCATCTTGGTCGCGCATTTGGAAATATGCAAATTAAGCATGTGTCACCCAATTATTCATTCAAATAGGATAAAGTTGAAGTCTTATTTGCCTTTCGTCTATCGAGTACTGTACCTACTGCTATGGTGTCTGGGTAAATGTTGTTGTCGAGGCTGTCACAGTTGGGTCTAACAGTTGGCAAGACAGCACAAACAGATATATCTTACAGTTGGCATGACAGCACAAACAGACCTCTACAGACCTGTGAAAGGTTAACAGGGTAGCACTGTACTCACTGACACACTCTCCACTACCTCCGGGGTAGCTGGTGCTGTAGTCGCAATACAGGCCCCTCTGGCTGTCACCCACAAACCTCTCTGTGCAGCCTGGCACACACCTGGCAGCAGCGGCACCCGTCCAACACCATGGGCACCTCTGGAGGGCAGCGTGGCGCAGGCCAGGGGCAGTAGTGGCACGGGCATGTCATGCCAAATAATGTCCCCCGGCCAAAAAGTGTCCCCCTCTGCGTCACAATGTGATTAAATAAACTATTAATGTTCGTTGCTATATCAATCAATCAATCAAATTTTTTTTTATAAAGCCCTTTTTATATCAGCGGTGTGATGACCTAATGATTAGAATTCTGGAGGTCATTACAGCCTAAATGACATTATTTTCATCATCGCTATGCAAACAAGGCTGATTTCCACTACAATTTTGCTTTTCAAACAAGTTTGGTTTAGCTAATAAAATGAAAACATTACTTCGAACTACTTTTGGGTACCTTGTTAACATTACAACATGAAATCTATGTCTTAAACATTGCTACGTTTCAGAAATGGCAATGAAAATGTGTAATCTGCTTGACACATTAAAGTTATTTACCTTACAGATCACAAAGTCGTCAGCTAATTTCCACTCCATTCATATGTAAATCCGTTTGATTCATACACTGACTTGTCTGGCTGTCATGTTTTTATTTAAATCTGCCCTTCCCTTATCTACACTGACATAATGTAATTTCAGTAGTCCTCTTTCATGATTAATTTTTTTCTATCTCGCATAGCTCATTAGTACATTCTTGTGGTTGAATATATATGTATCTATTTTAGGACCTAGGATACAGCAATGAATAATGTAGGAATAAATAAATACCATCAAAGGATACCTTACAACTTACAATAATGAACACCTTGTGAAACAGCTGTGAAAATCAACCTGTCAATATTTAAGATTTTAATACATAAACTTTTATATTTTTTGGGACAGTTGTGTCATTAATATATTTGCACACATTTTTTGTATACTCACATGGCAAACATAGACTAAAATACAGAATGTTGGTGTGTGTAATAGAGAGGAGGTGGGTGCTGTGTGGGTGGGAGGTTCTGCCTGTCACATGTTCTCAACAGGCAGCCAGTCTCAGAAAGGGGACTCAAAGAGGGAGACTGCAAAGTCCAGGCACTGCTGCTCTCTTTGTTCTGAGTGTTTGAAAGTGCTAGTGTTTTTAGTTCATCTGTGTATCTCACATATTATGTGCCCAGTATGATAGAGCAAGAAAACTTTCTTATCAGATAATGACAACAACAGTAGCGTAGATTATGTAATGAAAAGTTGGAGGGTTGGTTGGTAATGGAGGACATCAGGTGGATCCACGTCTGGGTGTTGGGCAGAACCCCTAGATCCTGGAGAACAGGAGCAGAGTTAAAGGGAACAGGGGAGGAGACAGAGACGTAAACAAGCAAACACACAGGTTACACTTTACTGTGAGAAAATTGGATGGATTATTGCAGTGTTAATCAATGGGAGATATGTACTTTTCAACACTTTTGGAAGGTATAGCCTACCTCAAGCTGGTCCCCCTCCGACTCAGCGCACAGAGAATCAGACTGATCCGAACTCACTGGTTCTGGTGGATGGGATACCTCCTGGGGGGCTCGGACAGTCGATGGTCCTAAAGTCATTTGGAGAGGTAAATTGAAGAGGTACATTTTTATAAGCTCAGCATAACTACCATTTCTTGCTTTCTCAAATGTCAACCAAAGCTTAACATATTTTGTCTATTGGGCTTCACCGAAGTGTAGGGCGTCAGTGCTTTCAGTGGTCGACTGTCCATCTGCTTCAACTGGAGAAGATTGTTGGCTTCCACCGAGGTAACCCTATGAAGACAAAGATAAAAATATCAGTGTTAGGAAAACTAAAACTAGCTTCAGGTTATTTTGTGTGCAAATGCAAATAGTTATTATCTGAGATGTTTTATATTCACCTTAACAGATGGTGACCCCAGCTAAGAGCGAAAGAGCAGTGAGGTTTCCCAGGTCTCGCCTTCCTTTCGTCCTTCTTCCAAACCAAGTAATTCGCCCGGATGTCGTAGCACTTGGTCCCCTTCTTGATTCTGCTCCGGTAGCTCTCCTTCTGTTTCTCCTGCACCTTGTCGATGTTCAGTCTCACCTTGATTGATAACATTTTTACCTGGTCAAAAACCTCCACATCCTTCTCAGTCCGTGCCTGAAGCTGGTCCTTGAAGGCGTTCTGATCTGGTTCGACAACTTCCACCACATCAGGTTGGGTTTCAGTGATCTGATGTGCAAAGAGAATTACCTTCAGGTTGTTCTCCCACCCTTCCTGGTACCAATCAAGGGACTTGCCCATGGCAGTCTTGAGGGTCTGATTGGTCCATTCACCAATCCTGGAGGAGGGGGGAGAAAATTGATATCTATTGACAATGTAAGATATTGAAATATATCTGATTATGTACAATGGAAAAACAAAAATGAATTGTAAAAAATGAATAAAACAAACCATTGGTGACAGAACATAACCTATAACATCCGTACCTTGTTCCAGCGTTAATGACCTCGGTCACTCAAGATGACCTCAAGAGAACCGTGGGTGTTGAAGATAACCATTATCGCCTTGGAGGTGGCCTCACCAGTCTCGTCCTTGATGGGTATCATACAAAATTAAAATCAATTTTAGGTTCCAAGCACCCTTTTTAATGGGTTACAGAAGGGAATTTAGAGTTCAGCACGTACTCTTCCTTTACTGGAAAGATAAAAGAAAATCTCCTCGAGGGATGCCATTGAAGTGCAAGCTACATACAAAGAGAAAGCTACAATAACAGTTACAGTAGCTAGCTAGCTAATGTTAGCTAAATAAAACTGTCTGTCTAGCTAGCCAGCTACTGTAGCTGGCTATCTGACTAGGCAGGCTGAGGTAAATAAGTACAGTAGCTAGCAACGTCAATCTAAAAACAGCTTAAATTATTAATTCCTATTTAACAATATTTTATTATATAAAGACAAATATATGGTAAAGAAAGAGTGTTCTCTTTCCAGTCTTTTCGATCCTCTGAAGCAGCAGGTAGTCACCATCAAAAACACGTCCTTGGAGAGCAATTCTGAGGTAATCATTTTGCACGGTTTGAGCAAGCGCTTATGAGGTGAAATAGAACGAGAACTGCCCGCGTCCTCCTTCCTTCGCGACCACTACGAGGTAAAATAGAGGGGCGGAACGGACAATTTTTGGCAGGGGGACACTATTTGGCATGACAGGCCACGCACAGCTGGCACCACACCAACACATGTGGGTTTACAGTAGGATGATGAACTGCAGTGGCGTTTGTGGAAAAAATGTTTTATCCAGCTGCCTTTTGTTGACTGTACAGGTGTAAGGCTTTTTTGTGTGCTGTAAATGTTACTGTACTTTTGTGTGTATTTGTTTGAGTAACTTGTAGGGTTGCAAAAATTTAACTTTCCCCAAATCCCTTGGAATTTCTGAAATTCCGGTTCGCGGCTATCTGGAATACGCAGGGAATTAGCTGCAAAGGAATCCTCCTACCAGGAATTTTTCACCCAGGATTTCTGAAAAACCTGAGAATTTCTAGAAAGTTTAGGGAATGCTTGCAACCCTACTAATACAGTAAAAAAAAAAAAAAATTCTGTTCAAACTTTTGGGCTGGTGTATTTCGATTGGAATCAATTTAATCCAGGATTCTGAACTAGATGTGCCAATTTTCATGGGAAACAACACAAAAAGATTAGGAGGAGGTTCCACCGAGCCCCTGCCTCTTCAGTAAATTACACCATGATCATCACACAGGATGTATTGCACACATATTACGCACATAAAACGTAAGCTGGTCATTTACAGCATCACTTCCACCTTTGTGCTGTTGTAATTTCCTTTAGACAATTGCTGTGTAGACAAAATACATAACCCCAAAGGAGTTCTGCTAATTCTGTGGAATATAGCCTACAAGTCTTTAATCTCTTGCTTCATGCAGTCAAAGATAGGTTATGCAATACACAACTCCCCAGCCTCTCACCATGGAGCACCTCAACTCCCAGCATTCCTGAACATCCAAATGCTCCAGCGAACATCCAGCTGTGTGCTTTCAGCTCTACCATAGTGCTCTACTTTTAGAACATTTAGTATCAGTTTGTGAACCACCATATATAGTTGAAGTCGGAAGTTTACATACACTTAGGTTGGAGTAATTAAAACTTGTTTTTCAACCACTCCACAAATGTATTGTTAACAAACTATAGTTTTGGCAAGTCGGTTAGGACATCTACTTTGTGCATGACACAAGTAATTTTTCCAACAATTGTTTACAGACAGATTATTTCACTTATAATTCACTGTATCACAATTCCGGTGGGTCAGAAGTTTACATACATTAAGTTGTCTGTGCCTTTAAACAGCTTGGAAAATTCCAGAAAGTGATGTCATGGCTGTAGAAGCTTCTGATAGGCTAATTGACATAATTTGAGTCAACTGGAGGTGTACTGTGGATGTATTTCAAGGCCTACCTTCAAACTCAGTGCCTCTTTGCTTGACATCATGGGAAAATCAAAAGAAATCAGCCAAGACCTCAGAAAAAAAGTGTATACCTCTACAAGTCTGGTTCATCCTTGGGAACAATTTCCAAATGTCTGAAGGTACCACGTTCATCTGTACAAACAATAGTACGCAAGTATAAACACCATGGGACCATGCAGCCGTCATACCGCTCAGGAAGGAGACGCGTTCTGTCTCCTAGAGATGAACGTACTTCGGTGTGAAAAGTGCAAATCAATCCCAGAACAACAGCAAAGGACCTTGTGAAGATGCTGGAGGAAAAAGGTACAAAAGTATCTATATCCACAGTAAAACGAGTCCTATATCGACATAACCTGAAAGGCCGCTCAGCAAGGAAGAAGCCACTGCTCCAAAACCGCCATAAAAAAGACAGACTACGGTTTGAACTGCACATGGGGACAAAGATCGTACTTTTTGGAGAAATGTCCTCTGTTCTGATTAAACAAAAATAGAACTGTTTGGCCATAATGATCATCGTTATGTTTGGAGGAAAAAGGGGGATGCATGCAAGCCGAAGAACACCATCCCAAACG